TATTCAGGTCTACGTGTGCACGCATGCATTATGTATGTGCCCTGTACATGTCGCTTAAGGATCACATTTCCAGTTGCATAACTCTATAAGCTCTGGAAAGGTCACAGTTGGTGCCGAGGATCTCCCATTGCAGAGACAGACCAGCCAGTGAGAGACTTCAACTGATTGTTGGGTACTGCATTGTGAACGCTGTATGAAATGGCCATGAAAGTCAGACTCCAAGCAAACACTGACCCTTGAGTAAAAAGGGTGGCAAAAAGGCCAAGTACACAGATTAAAGGTTAGTTCACCCAAAAATTAAAATTAGCCTGTGTTTTACTCACCCTCAAAGCATCCTGTGTGTATGTGACTTTCTTCTTTCAGACGAACCCAATCAGAGTTATATTCAAAATGGCCCTGGCCCCTCTAAGCATTTCAATGGGGGGGTAAGCAGGTGTTCGGTTGGCAACGGTTCAGAAGACATGAAAGTGTACGCAACCATAATAAAACGTCCCTCACACGGCTCCGGGGGGGTGAATAAAGGCCTCCTGTACCGAAACCATGCGTTTTTGTAAGATAAAGGTTCATATGTCAAATGTAATAAACCGTTTTCTCTCACTTCCGTTATTGTCATATGCGGTAGGCATTCTGGTGGATGACGTAGGATGTCGGCGTTGCGTGATTGGTGACGATAACTCACAACAGGATATAAAGCATGTATATTATGAACTATGACTAGAAAATAACTCACAACAGGATATAAAGCATGTATATTATGAACTATGACTAGAAAATAACTCACAACAGGATATAAAGCATGTATGAATAGTAATTTACCGTTTGTGAGAAGTCTCTGTCTGTCCTGACCCTTGGTGTGAGTGGGCTGATTGCAAGCATGAGGTTAATTTATATCTGGTGCTGCGGTGGTAACCACGCCCCCCATGGACTTTAGGCTATAATTGCCACGCCCCCTTAGAATGTCAAGGTCGTATTGGGGGAAAGTTGGATAAAACAACTGCATCACTTAAATAATAACAAATGAAACCAAGCGAAAAGAAACGTTTTGCATGTTACATTAAACATATTATATAGCTACTGACATATTTAAAGATTTCTATTGTTCCTTTTGGAAATCAGCAGTGTATACGATCAAACTTAATGTTTTTATTAAAGGGTCAGGCATTTGTTCTGTAAGCTCTTTAGTAATAATTAGTGCATTTCAATAGGCTTTTAAAAAATACATCTGTTAACATGGAGGAAATATTTCATATACAGTACACAATGTTAATGATCTTGGTGTCAACACAAAGTCTGCAGGTTCAGTCCTAAAAAATGGAAAACATACAGTCAGAGACTTACTGTGCTCACAACTCTTTGCAATTACTCCACATTTTTTCAGGTGTACTTGCTCTGCAAAAAAAAAGAAGATATTTCGGAAAAATGTGCTTGCTAATGGTGTTCTCTTAAAACGTGTTAGAACGAGCCGTTTTAGGGGGGCGTGGCAGAGTCTTAACTTTGATAAAGAATATCTCTTTGGTTTTGAGACTTTAGTCTTTGCAACTTCAGGGATCTTATCTATGCACAACCAGCTTGTAACACTCCAAAGAGAAAGGAAAACTTGAAATCGCATCATATGACCCCTTTAAAAGAAAATTTGATTTGAACATGTCTGTCCACTCTGACCTTCTAACAGTAACTGGCCCAGACCGAGAGCAAGATGAAGCAGGGGATCAAATCGCCCTCATCGTGAATGTGTGACATTTACAGGAAAGACCATGGGAAAGAAACGTTTTGCATGTTACATTAAACATATTATATAGCTACTGACATATTGACGGTGCTCCATCATTTACAGGAAAGACCATGACCCTTCCCTTTCACCCTGCCATTCCTGCATCCCAGAATCCCTCACATTGTTAAGAAATGCGATGTCTTTCTACCTGCATAATCTCTTAACTAGTGCAAACGTATTTGCATGTGCATCTGTATGCAAGTCAATGCATGATAAACTTTTGGGAAAAATGGTTGAAAAAACTAATCTGTTTTAAGGGACAGTTCACCCAAAAATGATGTTTCAAACCTGTATAACTGACTTTCTTTTGCTTAACATGAAGATATTTTGAAGAATGTGGGCAACAAAAACAGTTTCTGGCACTCATTGACTTGATAGTTACCCATGCTATGGAAGTCAGAGGGGACCAGAAATGTTTAGTTACCCATATTCTTCAAAATATCTTCTTTTATGTTTAACAGAAGAAAGAAACAACCTGAGGGTGAGTAAATGATGACAGAAATTTCATTTTTGGGTGAACTATGCCTTTAAAACAAACACAATCCTTCAGAGAGTGACAGGGTAGATTAATTGCTTGGTTTCTAAATTACTGTAGTGAATTTAATCACAAAGTACATTTGATTAATCACGTTATAATCTTTCTGTTATCCATCAAATTTAGCGTTGGTGTTATTGATTTAAATGTAGTTGATCCTTTGTCTCCTGTCTGCAATTAATCACAGAGCTATACTAGTAATTACCACTGACATGATCCAGGAGATCAGGTGCTCCATCATTGCAAAGGGACAGATTGTAAAAAAATAAAATAAAATAAAAATACATTCACGCTGTATAGCAATTAGCTGTCATAGTGCAGTGTTCCACAGTAATTCTGCACTTTTGTTGCAAGATTTGTAACTTTGCAAGAATACAGATTTGTCCAGTTTTTTTCTTTGCATTGAATTAGTCTTGTCCTTTCTGTGGTGTTAAGTATCATCTGAGTTTGCACTGCAGACAATTTTGGACTGTCGTAACCACTGCGGTCCTGGCCTTTTGGCTTCTTTTGATAGTTCCGAGGTCACAGAGATGAAGAGAAGGCCAAAGTAAGTTTGTCACAGGATATTGAAGTGGGGTGTGACAGTTTTAAAAATGCCATCTTACCCTTTAATCATCATAACATCCTTATTAAAAGCGGTAACTGTAATGTATGTCTATGTGCATGTAATATTAACTACTAAATCATTCTTCTCATTGAAACAGGTTGAAAGCGCTCAGCAACTGCGCCTCAGAATAGTGTGTGTATATCCCTGCTATCTGCTCCCCAGCAGCTGAGAGAATGTGCTGGACTGTTAGGCTAAAAATACACAAACACTCGAAGGCTGACCCCACACCCTTTCCACTGCAGCTATCTTGTGCTCCTGTGGAGTGACCTGCTCAATTCACCCCGTTACGCCTGACTCACATGATTCAGACAGAATCAGACAAGCTGAACGTAACCCTGACAGACACAAACAGCACGTCTGTCACGTCCCGCTGCCAAGTTCACCCAGATAGCTCAGATTCTTCAGACGGAATATTTGCAGACCAATTTTTTATATGTTAATCTCTGCTGACGAGTAATTGTTTGTTTAAACTCTGTTCTCCCGTGTGGATCAATCTTTACTAGCTCTGTTAGTTGGTATGTGAGGTTGTTATATATTAACTACTAACCATAAAGTGGCATAACTGTAGAGCTCAGAGTCCAGGATCCTATGTTGTCTGAAGTGTACACTGCCCAGACGAGTCTAGTGTCTCGAGTCTCAGAATATAGTGCTGTCTTGTGGTCAAAATAAAAAATGCATTTGAGGTGATTTTTTTTTAAGGTTTGCTTATATAAATGTGTTATTATGGGGAAATATATCGATGTAAATAATAGGAAACAGTGGCAGAAAATTAGGTGGTGACTCCAAGATAGGTTTGAAGTTAGATTTAGGTCATATCAGAGTTAGGAAATGCCCCGGTTCTTAACCAGGGGACTGGGACCAACTAGGAGGGCCACAGAATGATTTAAAGTGATTAAGATTAATTTATTTTGAAATAATCTGACTAAATTAAAATGCTAAAAACATGTTTAAAAAGGTGTAAACTGGGCATTTAACATGTAAAACAATTATTTTTATTAAAGAATATACAGTTACTTATAACTCCTGGTATCATAAAAATATTTGTGGTTGATTTAATTCATTAAAACAAATAGAAATAAATGTTAAATAACTGTTAAAATTTAATACATTGACACTTCTATAGTTTCTGTTAATAAAAAAAAATTTTTTTTTAAACAATCAGCTTTATTCGGAATATATAGCTTATATGAGGGGCCTTCAAATATTGTGCTATACAATGAAAGGCCTTCAAGTCAAAAAGGTTAAGAACCACTGCTTTAAAATGAAAGTGACCCAAAATGAGGGAAACAATCATTTATTCAACCCCATGCCATTTCTTCTGTTGAAAACATTTTTGAATTATTGTTTCTATTATTCACTTTTATATTAAATCATGCTGTAAAAATAAAAGACAGTACAGAGGACATACATCATCATAACAGACTAATTTACCAAATTATTTTAAGATGAAACACTCATCAGTTCTTAGGGAGATTATCTATAAAACATGTAGTTCAAGTTAAGATTTTGTGCCTAAACATAGTATGGATTTTTCATATAAAAATATTCATATTTCATTTTTCAGCTATAATCCTAACGCCTACATAAACATTTCACAGGCTGATTGAGTGGTAAGAAATAAATGGATTGTTCATGCAGTTCCCAAATGAATCAGTGGTTGTGGATGTATGTAAGACTACCAGTTCCTTCTAAGCTTTAGAAGAGCAAAAGTTTATGCAGAGTGATGCTGTTTAAATTCACGTACAATAACTCTTAATAGTACATCATATGTTGTTCGATAAATTCCTTAAAAAAACGGAATATCTTGCATGTACATCTCACTTATCCACCACTAGACTCCCCACTCCTCATCACAGAAAGATGTGGATGTGTGTCCTTGTTCAATAGCAGCTGATTAAGACTGTGAAAATCCTGTCACATTCTTCCATTTGCATATTTGCAGCCCATGAACTCGTTGATTTGCAGTGTGTGGGAGAACACATGGAGGATAACCTGCGTTTAGAAAAGCGTAATAACAACACTTAATGGTGTCGGATCAGGAAACGCAATTAAGAGACATGCAGAAAGCACAAAGAAACTTGATGTGGAAGAAATTTTATTCATGCAAAAAGTACAGAAGGTGAGCAGTACATGTTTATGTTCTGAAAATCATGCATTAGAAGATCTTTACTTACTACTAGCAGATTATCAAAATGATTGTATCTCATCTACATCTCAAGGAACAAAGTAAACACTTAATTCTTGCTACCTTCATTAAGAAATAAATATACAAATACAGTTAAACAACATGTCACTTCAAATTCAATGTAAAAATAAGTATATTGAAATGCACAATATAATGAATTTGTCCACCTAACTTTTTTCACGGTGTCCAAAACCTGACCAGAATTTGGTAATGACCTCTACCTAAAGCTAAGCCAGTTAAACAACATGTCACTTCAAATTCAATGTAAAAATAAGTATATTGAAATGCACAATATAATGAATTTGTCCACCTAACTTTTTTCACGGTGTCCAAAACCTGACCAGAATTTGGTAATGACCTCTACCTAAAGCTAAGCGGGACAACAGTCATCTCATCATCTCGGTCCGTCTCTCAGTTCATTATTAGCAGCCGAGGCCACTCATAGAGCCGATCCGATCCAGTTTCAGGCCAAAACCAAAAAGGTTAAGAACCACTGCTTTAAAATGAAAGTGACCCAAAATGAGGGAAACAATAATTTATTCAACCCCATGCCATTTCTTCTGTTGAAAACATTTTTGAATTATTGTTTCTATTATTCACTTTTATATTAAATCATGCTGTAAAAATAAAAGACAGAACAGAGGACATACATCATCATAACAGACTAATTTACCAAATTATTTTAAGATGAAACACTCATCAGTTCTTAGGGAGATTATCTATAAAACATGTAGTTCAAGTTAAGATTTTGTGCCTAAACATAGTATGGATTTTTCATATAAAAATATTCATATTTCATTTTTCAGCTATAATCCTAACGCCTACATAAACATTTCACAGGCTGATTGAGTGGTAAGAAATAAATGGATTGTTCATGCAGTTCCCAAATGAATCAGTGGTTGTGGATGTATGTAAGACTACCAGTTCCTTCTAAGCTTTAGAAGAGCAAAAGTTTCTGCAGAGTGATGCTGTTTAAATTCACGTACAATAACTCTTAATAGTACATCATATGTTGTTCGATAAATTCCTTAAAAAAACGGAATATCTTGCATGTACATCTCACTTATCCACCACTAGACTCCCCACTCCTCATCACAGAAAGATGTGGATGTGTGTCCTTGTTCAATAGCAGCTGATTAAGACTGTGAAAATCCTGTCACATTCTTCCATTTGCATATTTGCAGCCCATGAACTCGTTGATTTGCAGTGTGTGGGAGAACACATGGAGGATAACCTGCGTTTAGAAAAGCGTAATAACAACACTTAATGGTGTCGGATCAGGAAACGCAATTAAGAGACATGCAGAAAGCACAAAGAAACTTGATGTGGAAGAAATTTTATTCATGCAAAAAGTACAGAAGGTGAGCAGTACATGTTTATGTTCTGAAAATCATGCATTAGAAGATCTTTACTTACTACTAGCAGATTATCAAAATGATTGTATCTCATCTAGGAACAAAGGAACAAAGTAAACACTTAATTCTTGCTACCTTCATTAAGAAATAAATATACAAATACAGTTAAACAACATAAATTCAATGATTCAATGTAAAAATAAGTATATTGAAATGCACAATATAATGAATTTGTCCACCTAACTTTTTTCACGGTGTCCAAAACCTGACCAGAATTTGGTAATGACCTCTACCTAAAGCTAAGCGGGACAACAGTCATCTCATCATCTCGGTCCGTCTCTCAGTTCATTATTAGCAGCCGAGGCCACTCATAGAGCCGATCCGATCCAGTTTCAGGCCAAAACAGCCTCGGTTCCAACCCCTCCGCAACCGGTTCGGTGGAGCTCGCTTCTGATTGACCAAAGCCCCCTTCAAGAGGCGGAGCCAGGCATTCTCGCTCTGCACAGGTGTGTCAATCCACTTGGGGTATTCTGCCACCTTTAGTCCAGAGCTGAAGGTCTGCATGGGCTCTTCTGACTGGTCACTCGTGAGGTTGTCAAGATCATCATGGGTCAAAAGGTCATTGTAGCGCTCAAGGAACTGCTCGATGACCTGCATAGTGGAGACAGGAAATCTTTTTTATTGACAGCCTACATTCTATTTACTACTTAAAAATATATGTGTTTAGTCCTGTGAGGAAGCCCACCTGCATGGCTTTGTCAGGGGTGTGAAGGGTTCGGGTGTGGCCTGGCACCGGATTGGCTAGAAGGACTAGAAGCACCACAAGTACACAGGAGCACAGCATGGTGCAATTGATAATGGCCCCAAATGCACCGCTAATGTGAGTCGTATGGATAGATTCAGATGAACAAATTTAGATGAACACACTCAAACACAGATAAAGGAGAGAGAAGCATGGAAATAAAAACACACAAAACTAATTCTGCAGACAACAATACACAGTACATTAAAAAAAACATAAAACAGAAAGAGGTTAGGTTATGTTATGTTATGTTATGTTATGCATTAAACCATTTTGAATAAATGCAACTACATAGATACTTTTCATATTATAACAAAATATATAACAGTAAATAGGTTAATCTCACAAAGAAATTTTAAATTAAATTCTGTCCAAAATTTTGACTTTTACTGTTTGTGTGTGTGTGTAATTCCTATGACAAAATGATTCACCTTAGATTAGTTATTAGTTTAATGCAGTATTTCTCTTTACTGTATTACTATTAAAAATGGCAATGATTTTCTGTTTAAATCAGCATAAAGACCGCACAACACATACTACTTTTATTGGACTTCATTTTGTCCTTTGTTCTATGCACTAATCTAGGGCGTGCAGGTGTGCTGGGTTAATTAGTCAAGGATTGAATTTTAATAAAAGAAAAATTCCGGTAATTTTATATTATGGATACTTTATATTACGTTACTAATTTCGCTACAGATTACAAAGTACATGCTTTAAAAAGTCATTTGTAATGTATGTTGTTAGATTACACAAGTTTTGTAACTTAATCTAAATACTTTAGAATACTTTTGGACTTACAAACAACTATTGCAAAGCATGAAAACAGTCACGGATCATTCAGGTAACAACAGACAGTTAAGATTCAAGGGAATGTACATTTTTAAATGTGGGGCAATTTTCTTTTTCAGGACAGTACTAAATAAAAATAACATGCAATTTGATGATGATCCTCATATTTTGTTACAATTCTTACAATTTTGTATATTCTGCATGGGTTATGAAAATTATGAGCAGAACTGTAGCTTAAGATGCTTTTGCAGAGTGTCATCAGAGTCAGAAATCACCTATTGCTGTTTACATTAATTGCCTGTTACAGTTTACAATAATGTTTAAATGAAATGAATGACATTAAAATTCAAATTAGTCACTTTAGTAATCTAAATACTTTTTGGATGTAACTCTAATTTGATTACCACCCGTTTAAAATGTAACTGTAATGAAATACAGTTACCCATATTTCGTTTTTTAAATATGTAAGCTACATGTATTGTGTTAATCCCCAACCCTGCATATATACATACAATATTTGTGTTAAGTTCTTTTGCATTACTAAACAGCAAGTTCATTCGAACATAACAAGACCATTAGCCTGAAAATTATATCAGTACATCATAGCGACACATAAATGTATTTAATTCACAGTGTTTGTGCAATATTTAATTTAATATTTAATTAAATATTTCTCAATTGCGGGGCCGGGGCCCAATAGGAGGCCTCTGCAAACATCAAAAAGGGCTTTAAAAGGTTTTAAGCTAAAATAAGACAAAACAGCCATTACAATTTGCTAAAACAATTAAAAATCAAGATATTTCTTATTTTAATTTGTGCCCTGTTTGTTTCCTTTGAAGAAGCAGGGTTCCTATAGTCCTGGAAAATCTGGATGCAAGAGGTATAGCTTAATTAAAAAAATTGTCTAGACCTGGAAATGTAAATGTACAAAATGTAAATCAATCAAATCTGAAAACATAATGGGCAGTTTTATGAGGAATATACATCTTTTTTTCTAGTTATGCCAAGCTCTAAAACATTTTATTAAAATGAGTCATATTCAGTCATATACAAATGAGTGTACAATAAATTATTTTAATTTTAATTATTTTAGTTACACTTATTGTTTACAGTAAGTTAAAATATGTTCAGTCTATTAAAAACTACAACTAGAAGGACTTTGAATATTGTTGTGTACAATGGGGGGCCTTGGAGTCACAAGAGTTGAGAACCACTGATTTAATTCATACACAAAGACAACCTTATATGTGTTGATATAGAGTGCAGTGTCACAACCCAACACAATATTATCACTTTACCACAGCACAAACACAACATATGATTCATTTGTGATCTAACTCATAGCATACAAACACAAACAGACACAACACAGTGTAACACAATAATAGTCTAAAAAGAACATTTCTAGAAAACCGCACACACAGCCCTGAGGTATCCCTGGCTTCCTAAAAGCATCAGCATCCAGAAAGGGGCTCTTGTGTTTGATCAGGTTGAAGCCAGTGTTTTTACGGTTGTGTACCCTGTCTGAGTTTCTCACACAGTGAAGGATCGCAGGTTTATCCAGCCAGCTGCTGCCACTAGAAACCAATCTAGCTGGAACCTAGCGACAGAGCCATTTATCTAATTTCTTTATTTACATTACAAAGCCTATTTACTCTAATTACAGATATCGGTCAAATTAGTTGTCAAAAAGTCAAGGTTTTTGAACCAAAAAAGTCATAAATTAGTTTTCAGTTATGTATTAACCCTCAAGCATCCTTCGGGACAAATGTTGGGCGAAAATCTCATTTTTAAATTTTTTTTATTTAATATTATCCTGAGCTGTACAAGACTTGGCTACTTTTCCTAAGTTTGCCACCTGAACACACACACACACACACACACACACAAAGGACTTGATTCAACAAAGTTAAGTGGTTGAAAAAAAAAACTCAATTTGTCCCTCGTGGAAAAAAGTGGGCACCCATAGGAAATGAATAGGAAATATTATAATTCAGAGCATTTGTATTATTTGTCCAATAAAAATCAATGCAGATCATACATACACATAAACAAAGGGGTGAGCCTACAACATTTTCAATGTGGCAAACACTCACACATACACACACACACACACACACACAAACACACAAAGCATTGGGTCCGCCTATAACAGAGAGGTTTTTTTTAAATTTGTTGAATAAAAACAGTCACTCTCACATACACAAAGAATCGAATGAGCCAATGTCTTAGCTTTTTTTTTTTTTATGTGCCAATCAGCCACTGTGCGTGCACACACACACTGCTGCAATCCTGCTGCAAGATTTGTTGATGATTTCAAACAAAACATGCCTGAAACATGCTACTTGCTAGGTTTGTTGTTTATTCTTACCTGTTTGGTACCATTTGGTAGCAATTTGCTTTTTTGAGTTATTGAAATTATTATTTTTTTAGAAATAAATTAATCTGTCTCCTACTTTGTCTTTTCCTTATAGCATGGTCAGATTTGTCTGTAAGCATATTTTGGCTTCTTTGTATAGTCTCACCCAACACAAATGCTTTTTTATAACTTTAAAAAAGAGGTTAAGTTCGTTACAACAATGGTTTATAGATTTCAATATGCAGCCATTACTACAGCTAGGCTATTGATATTTTTTATATTTTTATACCATCATATGTGACCAGATGTCACCAAAGACTCCAGATTTTTAGGTTTTGGCTGTCTGAACTTATTGGAATGATTGTTTTTTTTTTTTTTTTGTTTTTTACTGAAGTAAAATAAATATTAAATACAACATAGAAATAAGCATATTTTACATAAAAATATTGTAGGCCAGGCCTACTTTGAGGTAAATAAGTAAAATAAAAATCACAAAAAAAATGCATTAATTGACAGTTTTTATTTTATCGAAGATAGTGATATGCCATTTATTTAAAAAAATAAATACAATTGGGATCACACCTGAGACATTTGTGCCCAAATTTGTCCACGAAGGACCAATTAAGGGCTGCTTAAGGGTTAAACCACATCTTCACTTTGATTATTCAAATGCTAAATGAGTTACAGTGCTTTTCAACACTTACTCACGTCAAGTTTTCTTTCCTACTTGATTTAGTTTGTGCTGTCCCATCCTTTTGTAACAGCCTCTGCAAAATCTTTCTTACACTGTGACAGATTAAAAAACAATCCACACACTGCAGTGTATAACAAAAATGTCAAATTTAGACTGAAGGTATCTTGAATTGCTCATTTCTTCTAACACTGGGATCCTTCAGAAAGATAAATGCAGAGTTGCAGGTGCTACACACAGCCAGAAACAGGCTTTGGTGTACCTTCACACATTGTACTTATTCATTGTTCTGGTGTTTAAGAACAACAATATCTGTCCTATTCTGAGGCGTCATGCCCATTCAAAAGGGGGCACGTACCCCTCAGATTTTTGAGCCAGGTGGATTTTGAATGCAGCTTCCAAAAAGACAAAAAAAATAGCCAAATAATATTTTTTATATTTGATACGATCACACC